CTTGACTGCTGCTTCCATGAGTGTTGATGGTTGATCCAAGAAGAATGAAACCCTTGACAAGTTCAATCTTTTCTCCATTGACAAGAATGTTGTTTATTGTCCAGTGGTGAGGATTTTTGTTTTCTTTACATTGAGATGCAATCTGTACGAACGGCTGTGCTCTTTGATCTTCATCAGTAAATACTTTAAGTCTTCTTACTTTCAGCAAGCAAGGTTGTATCATCTGCATATCACAGGTTGTTAATGAGTCTTCCTCCATTCCTGATGCCACATGTTTCTTCATATAACCCAGCTTCTCAGATGATTTGCTCAGCATACAGGTTGAATAAGTATGGTGAAAGAATACAACCCTGTTGCACAACTTTCTTAATTTTAAACCATTCAGTGTTCCCATGTTCTGTTTGAACAACTGCCTCTTGGTCCATCAGATGAGTGGTAGCATGTCTTTATAGCCCACCATTTTTTTCTGTCTAGAATTTTATTAGACTGCTTTCCCCTCCAATGTATGTGTTGGACTACTGAGACAAAAAAGAAGACACTCACATTAAATAAATAAGGTAACCTAATCAGTTCTACAAAGTGTATTTTGTAAAAGACGTAACTCTAGGAACCAACCAAAACAAGCTGGGGGTCCTATCAGGGACTGTGAGAGAACTTGGGAAAGTATACATGTTTGTACAATACTGATCTTATCCCCGACCTCTCCTCTCTTCATGAGGTTTGAGCCCAGCACCACTGTACAGAGGCACTGCTGCTTCCAGACAGAACTATGTTCCTAGAAATCTAATGGAACCAGCTGGTGTGAAGGGGTGTGGCCACATCCTTGGACAGAGCTGTGCTAGTTGGTTTCAGGAGTAAGTGAGGAGGGAAGGGCATACTTAAGAGGTCAACACTGTTGCCCAGCAACCATACCACCGATAAGGATGGAGTGACCCACGGACCTGCTTATGTGGGCAGGAACACAAAATCCAAGCTTACCTCAGGAAATTCTAGCTCCGCTCATGTAGGTGCTTTTATTCCAGGTTAGACTGGGGCAACAAGTGAAAGTGACAAGAGCCATAGAAAAGGCAGCTAAAGAAAAAGCCTCTACTAAAGCTGAAGTTGGAAATTTGAGCAACTGCATCCATAAGCAAAAGTCCATTTCATCAAACTCATAATCATGGGGTAATGAGTTCACACAATTCCCTAAACTTCAGACCAGCCAGCCCTTCCTCTTCTCTCTTTCATCATATGTGTGACCTCAGAAAAGTGTAGGAAGATACCTGCTAATTCTCAAACCACAAAAACAACTGTCTGCTCAGAATATCAGTTTGTTTCTCTCAGGATAACACACATCTGGACTTTACCTAGTTGGTTAATGAATAAAGGAAATCTTTAAGTACAAACATAGTAGCTAAAACAGCTTGTAAGAAAACATACTTTTATCTAGTTGTTGTTATGTGCCGTGGAGTCAGTTCCAACTCATAGTGATCCGGTACAGGGTTTCCAAAGCTGTAAATCTTTACGGGAGCAGAGAGCCTCATCTTTCTCCAGCAGAAGAGCTGCTAGTTTCGAACTGCTGACCTTGAGGTTTGCAGCCCGAATCGTAACCAATATGCTACCAGAGCCCCTTTCTCTAGTAGGACTGTCTCTTCTCCAACTTCCCAGTTGCATAAACGCTACCAGCAGTTGGGATGTCCCAACTGAAATGTCCCAGTGTCCCAGATTCATTACTACAGCCTCCATAAGATAAGGAGAGTAAGAAAGAAAAAAGATGTCTGTACAGGACATCTGGTCCCAAAAGGGTTTCAGTGAAGGTCAGAGCTAACCTCCCTGAGGGATTTGGGTCTGTCCAATCTGGTTCCATAAGATATTTGGCTCCACCAGGGTGTTACGGGTGCAATCCTGTAAGATAATCCCTTATTGCACTTAAAAATGAGTGCACTGAAGAGACAAGCATGTTCTTTGACCTGAAGTATCTTCCATTCTGGTTGGAATGTTGAGCATTATATTTCATTGTAATACTCGACTTTGTCTTCTTAAGCTGCTCTTTGAAATTTTCTGTTCAGCTCTTTTACTTCATTTCTTCCAGTTGCTTTAGCTTCTCTATGCTCAAGAGCAAGTTTCAGAGTCTCTCCTGACATCTATTTTGTTTTTTCTTTCTTTCTTGTCTTTTTAATAACCTTTTGCTTTCTTTCTGTATATGTTCTAGATGTCATCCCACAAGTCTTCTGGCTTTTGGTCATTAGTGTCTAATATATCAAATGGTTCTTGAAATGGTCTTTAAATTCTGGTGGGATATACTCAAGGTCATATTTTGGCTCTCATGGACTTGTTTTAACTTTTTTCAGTTTCAGTCTAAACTTGCAATATGAGCAATTAATGGTCTGTTCCATAGTCAGACCATGGCCTTGCTTTGGCTGATGATATTGAACTTTTCCTCATCCATTCCCATAGATGTAGTCAGTTTGATTCCTGTGTATTCCAGTTAGTGAGTTCCAAATGTACAGTCTCCATCTATGTTGTTTTAAAAAAATTTATTGGCAATGAATAAGTTGTTGTCTAGCAAAATTCTATCATGTGATCTCATTTCTATCACCAAGGTCATATATTTCAACTACTGATCCTTTCTCTTTGCTTACAATTTTCATATTCCAATCACCAGTAATTATCAATTATTAAAAAAAGACCAGAAGTAATTAACTTCTTGATTGAAGAAGTTAGCAGAATTCTTCAATTTCATCATCACTTGATTTAGTGGTTGGTGTGTACATTTGAATAATAGAGGTATTAACTAGTCTTTCTTTAGGAGTATGGACATTGTCTTACCACAGACAGCATTGTACTTGGAATGTTGTTTTTTGAGGATAAATGCAACACCATTCCTCTTGAATTTGTCATTTCTAGCATAGTAAATTACATGTTTGATCAAAATGGTCAATATCAGTCCATTTCAGCTCACTAATGCCTAGTTTACTGAACTTTATGCATTCCATTTTATAACACAAGTTAATGTCATTTATTTAGAGGTGTTATCAACTTGTGATATAAAATCAAAGGGAAACCCAAAAGGCTACTAATCCCTCTAAATGAACTGACTTCCACTTATGATATCCACTGTTACCTCATCACTTTATATTAACTTTCTCTTCCAATCCAAACGCACAAGTCTTTTCAAAGTATATACCTACTTTGAACTTCTTGAATAGATTCTCCCTCACTTCACATGCTCCTGAATTTAATTTATTCCAGTGTAATATTCTCTCTCTACATATGTATTTCTCTGTTAACCTTAATAGTCACATCCACTCTGCTCTAAATATTATCACTTAAGTCAATCATTTCAGAATTTTACTTCTCTACCATTTCTCTCCTTTGCCTAATTAATCACCCATTAAAGACACCTCCATTTCAATGTACAGATCTCATTCCTAAAGTTAAATATCTAAAAATACATACAAATATAAACCCAGCAGAGATGTATGCTCAATTTTATTATCTCCTGAGTGGCTGCCATTATCATTCAGTAAACATTCTATTAATTGATCTCACTGAAAACCCCAATGTATGAGAACAGCACTCTATATAAAATACAAGAACAGCCATCATTAGTTATTTTAAATCACCCATTTAATTTTCTTAAATCATATTTTCTTCTTGATTTCAAAAAAAGGTAGAATGTGTTAATACTTTAGACTTTGGTGAAAGGCTCACTTTTCATATTCTAAATGTTGTTGTTAAGTGCCATTAAGTTGGTTCCAACTCATTGGGCTTCAAGAGCAGCTGGTGAGTTTGAACCACTGACCTTTTGGTTAGCCTCCACTGCTTATCCTGATGCACCACATCAGGACTTCATATTCTAAACATTGAAGTACAAGTCCTACAGCTGCTACAAATCTGGAAAAACTGTCATACCCAGAGTCTAAAGGCAAACCAGTAGAGCTAATTTTCCCTGTGCACCTTTGCCCAGTATGGTGGCCATTTGTTGTTGTTGTTAGGTGCTATCGAGTCGGTCCAGACCCAGAGCGACCTTATTTACAGCAAAACGAAACACTGC